CCAGAAGATATATAGAATAAAGTTACTATAGAGGATATTATTTTCTACTAGATAATGTTTATTGGTCGACTTGTCGACAGAGCGAGATTTACTACCATGCGACTAGTTTGATTGCAGGACGGTGGTGGATTCTCGTATTGGTAGTGGTTTATTCTTAGCTAGGCTTCCTGATGGAGACGCCTGACTCCCTCAGCTTGGGAGACTGCCGGGTGGATGAACACCTCGCTATACATCGCAGCCCGACACCAAGGAACACCTCCCAACCAGGATGAGGTGGCAAAACCGTTGGGAGCATTCCACAATCTGAACGGAAAAACGGATAGGTTCTGTTGTGAAGAAGTATCGCGGTACGAACTTCATCCTGAAATGCTCGAATACACCTGTCGGTTGACCGTTCGTCTTCTGATAGTGGTTGGTGCTTCATCAGTAAACTCTCAAGCTGTTTTGCATAGATTTACTTCGGCTTTTACTATTTTCTCTTCTACATGAACTAATACCACATATTCTGCACTCGCCAGTTCCTTGTCACGCACTAATCTGTCTTCTTCATAAATATCTTTAATGCCGCTGCTGTTGGTAGTGTCTGGAATCGTGGAATGCTTTGCTAGCGAGTGCCTAGCTATGTACAACACTAAGTTCTTGGCCCGTGTAGATCAGAGCGAACTTCTGGACGACTACCTTACTAATTTACCTAGTTGGCACAGGCCAGAGTCGGACCAGAGACTATGAAAGCATTGCATAACATTGCCAACTACTGTGCTTCTCACACCTCGTCTGTTTCAATCTATATTTTTAAATGATTACAGTTCATGGTAGTTGCTCCCTTTCTCACCATTTTCAAGGTTCTCAACTTCATTTCAAGGCTACTGAAACTAATATCCTACCATCCCAGGCACTGTGATCAAGTTCAATTCTTCCAATAGTTGACGTCATTTCTGTGGCCTTATGCCTTTTTTCGTCCAAAAAATGTCTGAATTTGATTTTTCGATTACCATTTCTATGGTGATGGCATAAATTTAATGAGGTTAAATTTTTCAGTAATCAATAAGGTACTGGTAAAGTACGTGAAGTCAAATTTCGTTGCTTGCAGAAGCACTCTTTCGATACCCATGGTCTCGTTAAAATTATGACAGAATGGACAAAAGTAGAGTGGAAAAGCACATAGGATTACATCAAGAAGAAAGAGCTAAGAACTTGCACCCCAATGAATTAGACTCGGGCCGAGAAGGGAGGCCCACATCAACAGGATGAACGGCTGTGGACGATCGACGCGGATCGAGGAGCTCTGAAGAAGACGGAGGCGCTGAAAAACCCTCCGAGTGAAAGTTTTGTACCATCCTCGTGTAAACTTAAGAATACAAGAAAATACAACTCCAATTGCTTCTACAAGCTTGCTACTATCCGTCGAAGCTTACAACTACTTATACTTCTATAGCAGGAATCATTTCTCCATACTTTTGTCTTTTCGATACAGTGTTTTCTTTTTCAAACTACTCTCCAAGTAGAAGGAGTTAGTGAAGGAACCCTATTAATCAAAGAATTACATCAATAGGTGATAAAAATCATGTGCTCATTCGTCAATTAGAGCAGTTTGTCCGCAATTGAACCTTTACAATAACCTATAGGATCCATTGAGTGAAACGGTCCAGTAATCGTAGGGTTGCGTGTTCCTTATGTACAAGGTTTATTTGTTGTTTTATTCTCATTGTCGGTCTGTGTCGTACCAGTTTGGTGGTCTATTCACTCGACGTTTACTGCTAACCTTTTAAGTGCGTATGCATAGAGAGTCCTCAAATGTACTGCATTTCATTTTGTCGGTTTTTGTTTTTTTTCATCATTGTAGGTTGTCAGTTTGTCCACTCAACTTGTTGACGTTCCAGAAAGCACACTATGCGGGACTGGCTATGGTCTCCGGAAGAAGTGAAGGTTCTGCTTTTAGTACTTTAGTCGTGGTTTCCAATTGTATCCTTCAATTTTTTTCGTCAAAGGATACTCCATCTGTAAAGCGAGGAATGTCGCTAGCTGAGGAGGCGAAATTACGAAGGGAAGGTATCAGACTGATTATGGAGGTTGGAACTGGTGTGAGAGCGTAAGTTCTTAGTTGTGTTCTTACATTGCGTTTTTAAGTGTGTGGACAGTTCAAAAACTGCGCTACCACGTCTAACGTAGAAACGGCCGTGATATTCAAGGTTTTATATTATTGTATGCCAACGTTCAGTTGGTTAGAAAGGTGTTATTGCACATTAGTGCTTCTGTGAGCGCAGTGGTTAGTGGGGCCGTGCAATACACGTGAGATCGGTCCCTGCAGCGGCTCATCAAGTCTTCCATCACTCCTGTATCGGTAAATTGGTAAATGACCTATCTGGCAGGGTAACAGCACTAACTAGATATATCGTTAGGCCACCGCGACTCAATTTATGGGCCGTATATGCATTCACTCATCTCTAACGATGTTCAATAAAGTCAAATGCATGACACATCCCCTACGGTTTGATCAAAGAACTTTATCCCTTATTCATCCTCTAGTGATCACATTGTGTCTATTTGTTCTGATAAGGGCAGAAAGTATTATGATTTCCTTCTAGTTCTTCCACACTGTGATGGAAAATGTCGTTTACGTTAAGTGGATGTCATGGTTTCGTTTTTTGGTGTCATGAGTATATGCTGCCAAATCAACTATATCCTATTTTAGAAAAGCGTGGCCCACGATAGGTACTGCTTCTGTCTATTTTCATCGATTTTATATGTTTCACACATTGCAGGAGTTTCCGCGCGAGGTTAGTTTCTGATTGATCACTTGGATGTCTGGAATGTTTCCAGTGATATATTTCTCTTTCCTTCGTGCGTTCATTTGCAGATTGTCGCAATGGGTTGTCTGTTCCTCGCAGGGAAAGTGTCAGAGACTCCAAAGAAATGTAAAGATATCGTCACAGCAGCGCAAAATGTCTTCCCCACTGTTTATGGAGATAAAAATCGCAACGCATTTGTTGTAGGTGTCTTTTGGGTTACCGGCACTTTTGCTATAGTATTACTTTTTTTTACCCTTACTATCTATTGTGTCATAATCTCAGGATGAGATTATGGGTATCGAACGAGTGCTACTGCAGACGATGAAATTCGACTTACAAGTTGATTTACCTTACCAGTATCTTATCGATTACTCAAAGAAGTTCAAACTCACAAAGACCGAAGTGAGTTTATTTGAGCTGGCTCTTACCTATCGTTTTAAAAATGAACGTTATTGTTTAACTATTAGATCAACTCTCTCGTTCACACTTCATGGACGTTTGTTAACGACAGCGCATTTACAACTTTGTGTCTGATTTGGGAACCACAGGTATCACATTTCTGTAGAATATATCCTTCCTCATTTATCATTCACTGGAAGAGTTAGCGTCATTAGATTTTAATAGGTAATCGCAGTGGCTCTTCTTCACCTTGCAATTACTGTTCGTAAAGTCAATATTGGGCTTCCCGATTGCTGGTGGAATGAATATATTGCAAATTTATCAAACAATCTTATTGATGATATTTGTCATAAGGTAAGGCTTTTTAATGTTGACAGATTCATTTGAAGGAGATCCGTCAATCATTACTAAGAGTCTACTGTGGAAGGTATTGGGTTCAGAAATAAATATGTTTTTTAACTGTATAATTTAAAATGTTATAACTTGCTTTAAGCAAAACTTTGTTAACGAAACAAATAACATTTGAATCTACACGTTTTTGCCAACGGGAAACATGTTTATTTATTTCAGTTGCATAAAATTCTGGAGTTCTGGAAGCAAGAATTCGTAAAAGGCATTTTTTGCGTCATGGTGGTTCGTGAAGCATTTCTAGCGCAGGAAGTTGTCAAAATGCTTGAAGAAGTTGTAGTCGGTGGGCGAGAGGTCTGGTGAATACGACGAATGAGGCAAAGTTTCCTAGCCCAACTCGTTGAACTTCTGCAGCGCTGGTTCCGCAACGTCAGGCCGGACGTTGTCGTGGGGGGAAAAACTTATCCTTTTCTGTTGGCTAATGCTGGTCATTACTGTTGGAGTTTACGGTGCATTTCATCGATTTTTCGGCAGAACTTCACTGCCGAAATCGTTTCATCCGATTCAAAAAGCTGTGATGAGTCACCCTGGCTGCTGACTACCAAACAGTCTCCTTAACCTTATTTTGGCGTAATTTCGGTCTTCTTTGGGAAATGCTTTGTAGCCTGATCGCAATCCAACCATTGTACCGAACTCGCCGGTTGTCGTACAAAATCCACTTCTCGTCAGACGTCATAATTCCATCAAGGAAAGGGTCATTTTTACTGCGCAGAATAAAAGCAGGCGACCTGTCAAAACGGCGACTTTTTTGATTATCGTTTAATTCGGGCGGCACCCACTTGTCGCGTTCTTTTTGTCTTTCCGATGCGATTCAAGTAAGTGGAAATTATTCCTGTGTTTACGACAAACTGTTCTGCAACCTCTGCAACATTCCAACATTGCTCTTGTGTTTGCTTCCGTTAACGCCTTCAGTTCGTCATCGTAAAGTTCATTAGGACGTCCTGAGCGTTCCTTATCTTCGAGGTCAAAATCACCGGATCGGAATTTCCGGAACCATGTTCGCACTGTTGATTCACCAGCACTACTTTCACCCTAAACTTCGTTAATGTTTCGAGCCGTCTATGCTGCACTACGGCAGAGTTTGAACTCATAAAAGAAAATTTGACGAAAATACGTTTGTGAATTCTAAAATTGCAAAGCTCATGTAGATGTTGGCGAAATATAAAAATATGGTTAGGAAGAGCATAAAATGTATATCCATGTATAATATTGCAAGATAAAGGGAGTATTTTATTGGGAAAAAATACATTAAAACTATAAATATTTTAAGACGCTCATTTCTGAGCAACCTAATAGGAATGAAGCTGAACTGCAGGGTGATTGATTCCAGAGGTAGGAATACTTTTTCTTTTCGTTCTGTGTTTATTTTATAACTTGTGACTTCGTTTATGTTTGTTTTATGCTTGCTGCATTGAGTATTCGGGGTACATATATGTTCAGGTCCTGGACTTTTATTCAATTTCCAAAGAGGAAAAGATGGATTTCATGCCACCACGCCCTTTTGTACTTGGTCAAACACCAGTCGTGCCAGCCAGTACAGGACCGTCTTCTTGAATAAAGAGTCGTTTATTGGTGGAAAATCACTTATTTGGAACTGCTTTCCAGACGTTTACCATACGTGAAATCGACATAAGTCAAAGGCTTAAAGACAAGATTGATTTAGTGAATGGAGATTGTTCGATCGACATCCATGATTTACAGAGAAATCTAATTCCTTTAGTAGTTTTTTACTCGTTTCTACCATTAATCTAATCTATTCTTAGCCCTTCATAATCGCTGCTAAGCCTGTTTCTGCTTTGGTGCATTTTTAAATGAACATAGTCGTCTTCACCTTGTTTTTCATCACATTAGTGTTGACAAATGGTTTTCTATCTAAACCTGTGACGTAGTAAGTTATCTCCGTTTCTTCTCTTAGTCATTTGATTTTTGTTTGTGTTTGGAGTGTTGGGGTGATCAGAGTTTGTGTGGGGTTGTTGTGCACTTCTGCATAGAACAATCTTATATTAAAGCTATGAGTGCGAGTTACTGTTGTTTCCAGTGTGTCAAATGTCTGTACGATATGAAGCGTTTAACATTACAGGATTTCTTTTGTGTTTGCTTCATGCCGAGTGACGGGTTCGTTTTTCATTTTCCTGTCATTCTTTATTGCCCTAGGAAGTAGCACCACTTTGTTCATATGAGTTATTTAAACCTTAGAATACACTACGAAATGTCAATGTTCTTACGTTTCTAGACTTTCTTCTTCAAACTCTGTTATAGGTTGAGAGTCGTTCCACTTCACCATATTGTCTCACAGATTCGTCTTCCACTTGATTTAGTGAACAACTGGTGAGATCTATTGTGGAGAAATCCCTACTAGTCGTTTAAAACACATCAAACTCCAGAAGATCAAAGCTTTCAGGATAATGTTTCGGAACTGGGAATTATGAGAGGGCATATTTGGGAATCTCTGTAAGATTTTATTTGTATGAGGTTATTTCTGAACTTCATACAGGCCACTGTAGTTGTAGTATAATAAGTTTTCGGTGATAAAGATCGAGTCCAATTCGTAATGGGCGGGAAGGAATGCCAACACATTTGACCTTACATCTTTGAACAGTGTGTTTCAATTCACATTGAAGTTCATTTGTATACTCTTCGTAGTAGTGCAAGTTTTCCACTTCTGATTTATGTAAATTAAGTGGGGCGTGTAGCGCAGTGGTCGGGGGCGCCCTGCAATACACACGGGGTCCATCCCCGCGTCCCAGGCTCATCAAACCTTCCATCTCTCCGGGTTAGGCAAATTGGTACCAAACTTGTCTAGAAGAATAACAGCGCTGCCTCAATACAACGAGTCATTGTAAAAGCCAGATATGCATTCAATCACATCGAAACGATGCTTGATGAAATCGAACCCATGCGCATACCTCAGGGTTTGATCAACTCCTTGAGCGTTATCGTTTTTTAATCTATACAGGTCAAATATATGTTTGCTGTGTATTCACTGTGATCACTGTTATGTCTGCTTGTTGTTAGTAGTGCGTTAGTACTTGTAGGTACTACTTGTTACGCTATGTTTGACGTTATCAGAATTTGTTTCGAGAGTGCTTAACATTTCCGTAGTAGATTGCTTCTTACACATGGTATTATTTTATATGAGGAGTTTCACATACAAGGAGGACATACATCGGTAAGGAACCGGTTCTTAATGAAATGTCGTTGCTGTGGAACTCGTTATACTTGTTCCTTACTTATATACTCGTTATACTTATATACCTTGTTCAAGTTCTATTGCGTTGGGGCTAAGTCTGGTCCTCGCCTATCTCGGTGTCAGTCAACCATGCATCCTGGATTACTTCCAGGATACTTTGGCTAAAGTGAAGAGACGCTTCCAGAGTCGAGATGTGTAATCGTAGCGCACCTGTGTGCTCGGCAGCATCAGCGGCCTTTCGCCATCAGCGCATTCCACTACAACGCACGATGTACATTGTGGCAGGGATTGTTATCTTCTTCTTCGTGAACCTATGTTTCATCTATATTTACATGCAAGACCAGTCAGATGATCTGTCTAGTGGGATTCAAAAGAGTCTTCTGTTCTTTCTCAAGCGGGAGTCATCAGAAGTAAGTGCGTGAGATCTCAACAAACTACTTCAATAGAATCAGTACACTACCGTATGCTCATCTTTCTGTCTATTCGAAGTTCGTAATATACTTGTCACTTTAGATTCCTGCAGCTGTTGAGATTAATTCGTATTCCTCGTGCGAGATTAACGACACCTTAGCTCTTAGTGCTCTTTCGAGGGTTAAAACTGAATCCTGCAGAGAGAAGGTAATGGATTGCTTGTAGGACTAATAGTGCAAATTCTTTTTTTCTCAAAGTGGCATGAGTACAGTGATGCTGAGATATTTACAAAAATCCAGACCTCAGGTGTCTGCAGTGGGGAACGAGCGCACTATTACCCTTTCCGGGAGATAACACCCTCACCACCACACCATGCGGGTCCTTCGTTTCGCCTATCTCTCAGTTAGTTTCCTACTTATCAGTACCACAAGCAATCACCCGTCACCCATGAGTAAACTTGTATAGCAATATCTTCTCTGTTTTTATTTTGCTTTTTGAAGATTATGAAAACGGCGTGCAAGTTGAAGAACGGTGTTTTTCACGAAGAGTTCCCTGAGAGCCGCTGCAGAAATCACGGTACTGCTCTTAAAATTAAGTAGCCTTATCGATCATTTTCAGTTTTAGACTTCTAGTTATAGTGAGAATGTTTTTTTTAGTAAATTTTTGGTGATTTTTCAAACTCCTTTTATTTAGATAGTTCATTGGTTAATCGTCCTGTGGGTTGTTTCGAGGACCAAAAGAATAAGCGAATTTTGGATGGTTTTTCTTATGTGTTCAAAGAAGATAATTCAGTGGAGAAATGTCGGTCCTTTTGCTATCGTGCCGGTTTCATTTTCTATGGTAGGAACGTGTTCGTGAAGTTACTAGGGTGGTGGGCATCGAAATCGTCTTGTCGTCTTGTTTTTTTTATAGGTTTTTAACTTCCCGCGAATTTTTATGTCATTTTTGGGCATAATATTCTCTCCAAGGTATCATTTTTGCATCTTAACAACGTGGATTTTTTAAATTAAAAGTTGGACCTATAGGTCTGGTACTTAGTCAAGGAGGTTACCTTATGTTCGTATTGAATTTATTTCATATTGTGAATTTATGAGAATTTAGGACTGGAGTTCGGACGGGAATGCTTTTGCGGTGATTCCATAGTCGGAGAATCTATTCATAATTCAAGATGTAAAGAATACCTATGCAGTGGAGATCCTTCGGAGTTCTGCGGAGGATTCAATGCCATTTCAATCCTTCACACTGGTTTAAAAGGTGAAATTTGTACGTATACTACAGATTAAGGGCGCGTATGGCGCAGTGGTCGAAGGCGCCATGCAGTACATACGGGACCGATCCTGGCGTCTGAGGCTCATCAAGCCTTTCATCTCTCCGGGGTCAGCAAATTTGTGCCAGACGTGTCTAGGAGAATAGCAGCACTGGTTCGATACATGGGTAGACCATGAGTCATTGTAAAGGTCAGATATGCATTCAATCACCTCCAGCGATGCTTAATGAAGTAGAATGCATGGTGAATTCCTCAGAGATTGATCAATGCCGAAAGCCTTATACTTTCTACAGATTTACTGAATTTGGTGCTCTTTTCATTCCTTTTTTATCAAAACAATTGCTTTGAAAATTTCACTGACTTTGTATTAAGCGTTTTAGAGAAGCATATAATGCCTAAGGCAGTGTATCGGGATGACGTTGATTCAGAAGGCAATTCAAAAGCGCCACGCATACTGTTTTTGCTTCAGTTGAATGGTAGAAATGAACGTCAGGTTTGTTAATAATGTGTTTATCACCTTCTTTTATCGACATGTTTCTTTTAGGTGAAGAGACTATTGAAAGCATTATACTCTCCTTACCACTATTATTATATTCACGTAGACCAACGGCAGCTGTTTTTGCTTTCAGGTTTGTATTTCGTAGAGGTTTCTGAGATTTTGCCTTTTAGTCAACCGTATTGAGGTTTATGCATTTATAACTTCGCAAGCGTGATTCATTTGATTTTGTGCATTCAATGGTGGGAAGTAGAAATATACAAATTTAGTGCTTGATTTGTTACAAACGATGCCAAATGCAACCACAGTGATGCTGAGGTATTCGCAAAATTTAGACTCAGGTCTAAATCGAGCCACGATTTCCCTTTACGGGGCACGTGTGTTTCACAGCATGTAGTTTCAAGTTGGTGTTTAAGTTTTGCGAATGTCTCAGCAACATTGTGGTTGTATTTCACATCGTACACCGTCGTAAAAATGTATAGCAGCCAGAAATGAAAGGTCAACAAACGATATTATTTAGCCGAATTAATCATCATGTAGTTCGAGCATGATGCCCTTGTAAGATCTCTAAGTCCCTCGTTTCTTTCTACTCAGCTCTAGAGCTAGGTCGTTCATCGTGTGGACTTCTGGGCCTATTTGGCACATTTGGAGATACCCATTCCGATAAGCGTGAAAAGGATAAATATCTTTTTCTATGGCTCAACCGAAGACCAATCCATTGGTCGATATCGAAATCTACCAGTATTCGCTGACACTGGTTAATTCCTGGTATTACATAGACTATAGAATATCATCAGAAGAAAACTGGCTGCCACCTATCGATCTTCGCTTCTATGTTGCCGATTTCCACTTTCTATATGATATTTTAAAGAATGGTGATAAATAATTCGGGCGGGGTGTTGTCCTCTTGTCAGATACTTCGCTTTGTGGCGATTTGCGCTGAAAAATGGTGAAAGTTTATAAAGGTTCATTTGGTGCTGCCCAAGAAATTCCAGTTTGCCTGGAGTTCTGATGATGACGTTGATCTCAAATCGTATTCCATCAAATCTAGTAATCACTTCAGTCGTACTTAACATTTTTCAGTTGCTTTTATTCTGATTCATTCAGAGATGAAAGCTGTTGCCGAGATGTTGCCGAATGTTTACTTGGCTCCGGATGCGCGCAGTACAATATGGGGAGGAGCGTCATTGCTAACAATGGTCCAAGGTATGGACTTCATGAAAGTGCTCGTATTAACCAGACACTAATGTGTAATACTCTGGTGATAAAAATCTTACCAGTCAGATGCGATCCGACGCTCAATCGTCATGCCATCGTTTTCCGAATGGGACTATCTCATCAATCTATCTGAGAGTGACTTTCCAGTTTTGACGCTTTATGAGCTGGAAGTGCAGCTGAAATTGTGAGTGCTGTTTTGTTCTGATAGCAGAATAAGACGCTTCCATCCAGGAGGGGCAAGTACATTTTCGATCCATTTTCAACAAATTTGTTCTTGTTGTGTGGACATCAAAAACCTGTGGGTCTCTGCATGATGTAGTCTCATGCACTTTTTATGTTTATTTTTATATTTTTTATACTTATGCTAGCAGATGTGCTTTCTTGTCGCTGCTAAGATATGAAGGTTGAGCAAAAAACAAATTTTTAGCCTTCGTCTCGCCATGTATTTATTTCACTACGAAATTCGATCGAATTGAATCTTACAGTGACGGCAATATAAACAAAGAAAAAGCTATAAATGGCAGAATTTAAGCTATCCTTTCAACTGGCGTTTCGGCTGATTTCGCCATCCTCATAGCCTGGGAAGGACAAGTTGACCGCAATTTAGTCAGCCAAACGCCTCCACAACCATACAGTGAAAATATGGATTGAAAAATTAAAGGAAAATTGAAAGAAATGAAAAGTGGCTGAGTAGATTGCTGTTAACTTGACATTTACAGGCTCTGAGAAAGGCGAAATCCGCCGAAACGTCAGCTTGTCCGTAAACAGAGAGGTAAAATAACACCTCTTGTTTGCTCAACAAGAATATAAAGAATTGCTCGATCAACGCCCAAATTAATGGGAACTCGATTGTGGGAACTATCCTTTCAGCTTTAAAATAATGGCGAGAAACGAGGCTTTTCAACAATTATCAGTAGATTTTTGGTATGTAAAATATTTGAAAACTTGAATAATATAAAATTTTCTGGTAGAAACATCGCCCTACCCTTCTAGAAACGTACATAGTTTTCCCATGACCGACTTTCTGTTAACCTCGGCATTAATTGATAATTCAATGTTTTTCATCAATAAGCAGACACGAGGTTGTTAATATAGAATTTATTAGAACACAATTGCTGACGTTTCGGCGGCTTCGCCTTCCTCAGAGCCTGGAAAGGTCAAATTGAGATGCGATCTACTCAGCCAAACACTTTCATAACCCTAGCAGATAAAACTTGATAAATCGATTTGTATTCGCATAAGAAACAGCTTCATTCAAACACCTACCGTTTATTTGTTGTAAGTATTTAAGTTAGTTGGTGGATAGCCGCCGCACAGAGTAATACATGGTCGATAACTGGGTCCATGTCAGATCATTGGATCAGCCTGAGGTATGGCGCTAGGTCACGCGTGATGACAAGACACTCCTCCTTGCGGTTCATTTTTGAATTTTTGGCATTGATCCAAAACGCTTCAAGAGTTTTTCGCGCTGATGTTTTCGATTCCTGCGTAAGGATAGTGACTCCTACCTCAAAATCTTCTCCGTTNATCGCCCTACCCTTCTAGAAACGTACATAGTTTTCCCATGACCGACTTTCTGTTAACCTCGGCATTAATTGATAATTCAATGTTTTTCATCAATAAGCAGACACGAGGTTGTTAATATAGAATTTATTAGAACACAATTGCTGACGTTTCGGCGGCTTCGCCTTCCTCAGAGCCTGGAAAGGTCAAATTGAGATGCGATCTACTCAGCCAAACACTTTCATAACCCTAGCAGATAAAACTTGATAAATCGATTTGTATTCGCATAAGAAACAGCTTCATTCAAACACCTACCGTTTATTTGTTGTAAGTATTTAAGTTAGTTGGTGGATAGCCGCCGCACAGAGTAATACATGGTCGATAACTGGGTCCATGTCAGATCATTGGATCAGCCTGAGGTATGGCGCTAGGTCACGCGTGATGACAAGACACTCCTCCTTGCGGTTCATTTTTGAATTTTTGGCATTGATCCAAAACGCTTCAAGAGTTTTTCGCGCTGATGTTTTCGATTCCTGCGTAAGGATAGTGACTCCTACCTCAAAATCTTCTCCGTTGTGTTCTTGCATCCTATGCGCGCCTAGTGGAGTATTGTGTTTTAGTTTAGATTTACCGACTAGGTGTTCTTTTATGCGGACGCAGAGCGGTCTACCCGTTTCACCAACATATTCGTGCCCGCACGCTTTACAAGAGATCAGATAGACTGTACCCGAACTCATGCAATCACCGTCTCTACCATTTGGGCAAATTATGCAGTTTTTTGTTGTACATAGACGGTCGTACAGGCGGTTGCGAACTAGCTGGCGTCTTAGAGTGTCCGGTGGTATTTCTATCACTCTTACGAAATTCTCTAGACCGGCCCTTATTAAGCAGCGTTTTATAGCCGCACTTACTTCGTTTGAAATAAAGGGCAACAGAAACGGAGCCTTGTTTTCACTAGAATTATCGCTTTGGTTTTGTACATAGTTTTGTTCATTAAGTTCTTTAGAAGTTAGTCTCCGATTTAAATGTGTATCTTTAAAGTAGCACGTCTCATCTTAGCGCAAACCGTGTTAATCGAAATAAAAAGCTATTACAATTATCTAGACATTTTGCTAACGAGGAACAAACTAACTTAAATCAGATTCTTTACTTTACGAGGCGGTGAAGTCGTTGAAAGCAATTTCGACTTCGTTTTTCTTTCTAAAATTAGAAATTACTTGTTTATTTCTATTTACTTGTGATAGGGGTTGTCGAGACGTTTGGAAATATCTTTATCGCTGGGTAAGAGGGCCGGCGATCATAGTGGATGAAGTAAAGTTCTGTAGCCTAGTTCATTCAAACTCTGAAGCTTTGATAGTGCGAAATGCGACCACGCGTTATCATGGAAGGTTGGTCTCTTTATTTTGATCGATGAGTGATGAAGCCATTGAAGTTTTTGGTGGGTTGCTGTGTCTACTTCTACGCCATAATCGTTTAACCCGGTTCCATGAAGGTTTGGAAGATAAAGTCACCTGTAGACCACGAAACGGTCGGTGTCAGCTTCTTTTGGCAAATTTTCGGCTTTAGGAACTGCTGCGAAGCTTAATCGCGGTCCATCTTCAGGGCTAATTGTCGTTAGTTCTCCATGGAGGATCCATTTTTCGTCGCACATGAAAATGCGTTAGAGAATATGGACATTCCAGTTGCGCGGAAGAAGGTCCGAAAATACCTCAGAGTGGCAGTTTTCGTCACTCTTGTTCAGTTTGCGTGCCAGCAATTTTTCATGATTCTTCGCCTTCCCAATTTTCTTTAGATGGAAAAGCCACCGTTTTCTTGATGAGCAAGCACGAGGCTGTTACTACAGCATTTATTCGTCGGCAATAGTTGACGTCTCCACGGTTTTGCCTTCTTCAGATACCAGAAGGATTAAACTGGCTTACAATCTACTTAATCGAGCATTTTCACAACTTTAGCAGATAGAACTTATTACATAAATTTTCATTCGCGTATTTAACAATTTCCTTTAAACGTTCACCATTTTATTCCTTGTAAGTCTTCCAGTTATTTAGTGTTACATGGGTTAGCAGTGTGTCTGGCACGTTTCAGAAACAATTAGACATGGGTATGGCGCGAGTCCACACGTGATCACAAGGCACTCCTCGTAGCGCTTTATTTTCGCATTGTAGGAATTTATCTGTAAATGCTTGTTTTTTAATTTTCTTTGATTACTCCAGAACAGTTCACGTGTTTTGGTGGAATTTTTCCACAAGTGCTCCCACAGTTGTTCGTCTATTTGCTTCAACCAAAGCCTTCAAATTGTCATCCTCATTAGCAGAAAGTGTCTGTAACCTCGCTTTCCTTCAAGTTCGAATTCGCAAGGGTGAATTTTTTAAAACCAACGTCAACTATGTGTATGAGTACGGCATTCGAAAAAAGAACCGGTGGAATATGCACAAAAAGTGGAATTACAAGTGGGACACATAAATTTCGTGCAAATAAGAGAGGCAGTTGCTCGCTAGAGAGATTTGCGTCTTCGTTGCTCCTAAGACGGTGGAGATTCATTACGTTAGGCTACTGTTAGCTGGAGTTGTCTTCTTTGATCAATCCCTTAGGGATGCACCACGCATTCGACTTTAATAAGCATCGTCGGAGGTGACTGAATGCATGTCATTTACAGTGGCTCGCGGTGGCCTACCGATGCATCGAGCAAGTGGTGCTATCCTCCTAGACAGGTCTGGTGTCTGGTAGCATTTTGCCAGACCCGGAGAGATGGAAGGCTTTGTGAGCTTAGGGGGCGGGATCGAACTTATGTGTGTTGCAAGGCGACCCTGGATGCGGTTATTGGTGAAGAGGCCGAACTTCTCAACATGGGAGTCCCTGCTGGGGTTAGGAGCACACCGCTGTAAATGACAATAAGACGTCTAGGAACAACACGAAAAGCGACAAATTCGTAAACCATTGAGCGGTTTCCATATTCTCCATGAATACGCAAATTCTTATCACATTAGGGTAAGGTGAGGTTTCTTGAGTTAACAGTATATTTTTTCAATGGTTCGTAAAGACTAGAATCTGGAATGGCGAAGCCATTGAACATGTTGGTCTTTTTTCCAGCAGTGCCCTGATAAAATTTCAAAGACTGTTCTCTTATTTTGTTATATTCCAATTGGAGGATTCTATAACAGAAATGGCATTTACGCTGTCCGTATAACAATGACGAGCTAAGTCTAGCTAAATCTTGCTACAGTTTTGCTACCTTATTTAACAAGTTGATTTCCTTCAGTGATTGCGTTTTTCTGACAAAAACGGTTTTCAGAAATCCTCACAAGTCCTACTTGAGCAGTCACGGGTACAACACTGCGCGGTTCATACAAAAACAAGGTTTTGACTTTGTGTTTGTAGAATGTGAGAACCACATGTGGAGAATTGGGAAGAGGTCAGTTGTAGATCGTTATTCTAGAATTCCATTTTATCCTTTTTCCATCCGTATGTGTACACAATTTAAAAGGTTATTAGAAATCGTTATGATTTGTGAAAACTGCTGTGAAAAGCTGTTCATTGAATCCGATATGTCGTTATTTCCTTGCGGGTCAGAGCGAACTGACAACGTTGTCACTTAGAAGGACTTAAACACAATAACCTTGTTAGAAAAGGATAAAGCTCTTGGCGTTGATCAATCTGCTAGGGATACGCCATGTATTCGAGTTCATTTAGCGTCGCTGGAGGTGAATGAATGTATATCTGGCCTTTACAATAACTCGCGGTGGCCTACCGATGTGTCGAGCCAGCACTGCTATCCTCCCAGACAACTCTGGTACCAATTTGCCGACCCCGAGGGAATAGAGGGCTTGATGAGCCCTGGGGCTCCGGGATCGATCCCATGTGTATTGTAGGGCGCTTGCGACCACTGCTCAACATGTGCCCTAACCCTAGTAAAGTTAAACATAATTTCTGGTTTCGACGTCAGATCTCTTTGATCAGACCTCTACCACTGGTTTAAGAAAGAACGCTAAGCGCGTAAGATGTTTTCCTTATGTATTTTAACCAATCAACACTTTATAATCATCACAGGATAGTTTGTTCTTCGTCTCTAGCTTGCCTTCAATATTTATTAGTTGACTAATTCATTATACTGAGTGCCAAATTTCTGAAAGCACTTGATGCTAGGGTGGTTTGAAGATACCGTTATGAATCTGATCACACATATTTATATTAACTGGTTTTAGATAGTGTGTCAGTGTTGGTGAAAATTTAAATCGCGGAGTAAAATTTTTATCATTTCCTACCGAGATGTTTAGGCGACAGTAACCAAAAACAGGAAAAGCTCGAAATGGCGAGAAGAATCGATTAGCTGATTGGTTTCTTATGATAAAATGAACGAACTTTCCAACGGTTTACCTCCTCGTCATGGCTGGGAGGTATTCCTGAATGTCGGGCTGCGATGCACAGCGGGTGTATTCATTCTCCCAGCAGGGTCTCCCAAGCTAAGAAAGAGTCCGGCGTTTCCATCAGGAAGCCCGGGTGAGAGTGAATACCGGGATCCACCACCGTCTTGGTGTCCGACTAGTCCTATGGTGGCAAATCTTTCCTCTGATCTACAAGGACAGCGATTACCTGTAGTGCTAGCGACCTGAGGCTGACTTTGGGCCCACCGACCTCGGGACTCAAGGGAATCACGAAGCTAAACCAGCGGAGCTCCGAAAAGATGGAAATTATGCTGGGGCCCGCACAAGCAGTGAAGACGGGTTATCCAAGTATCCAATTAAGTTTAGGTGAACATTGAGTAGCCATGGAAGGTATCAACAAATATGATCACTAGCATGTGCTAAATTTTTCAACTGCAAAGAAAGCTGCACGTCGGTAGTTCTTGTTACGTTTAAGTACCAAGTCATTCCCTACAATGGCATTTTTCCAAATATTGCGGGTTTTTTTGTTTTTTGGGGAATCTTTGTGAATGTGGGTGTATTTTTGTTCCAGGTGTTGTTCTGGCACTTTTAAGCGTTAATCTTTCTGTATTACAGGAATGAGTTTCCACGTAATCTACGTGTTGACGGTGGTTCTGATTGGGTAGTCCTCCACAGGAATTTCGCTGAATATTCTATATCTGATGATGAATTGGCAGTGAAATTGCGTACTTTATTTTCTAGCGTAATTTTACCAGTGGAGAGCTTCTTTCATACAGTGAGTACCTTTTTTTTCCAATTTATGAATAGAATTCCAAGCACTGGTGGTTGCCAAATCCCGAGAGCCGTTTCAAGTACTATCCCCCTAAATTGTATCAGTATCAAATCTTCGTTTTACTGAAAACGTATTATCTTTTCGAAAAATTGCATTAAGGCAGGAACGAGTTTCAACGAGCTCAACAAAGCAAAACTAAAGGATAAAACCGCGCATAATTCGTCAGAAATTCTCTTTTTTGGTGAACGCATGTTGTGAACCAAATTCAACTAATTAGTTCCCTGATTACGAAGACCACCTTCAACATGTACTTCGGACGGTCAATCAACATGGATAATAACACGAAGGAGGAATTATACACAGGAAGGAGAGCACCATGGACTGTGTTCGAGCTTGTTAGAGAAGTCACCACTTATACAACACACGAAACTTCGTCCTCACCTACTCAACGGTAGTCCCAGCGCTCTTTATTGCAGCAGAAATGTGGGGTAATACTTTAAGTACGTCGAAAGTACGTCCACAGAGCTCTTAAGCGAAGGTCGTAATGTCTTTCCTAACTGGCCATATGGTGAAGCATTCGCGGAGCTTCCACACATAGCCTTCTTACTTGTTCGCCTTTTCCGCAACCGTCATGTGATTTCCAGAACTCAGCTGTAGCAAAATGGTTTCGTATTACTACTTCTCATAGTCAATCTATGACCGGTAATACGTGAGGGAAAGGTTTAGGGGACTATGTAACATTGCAATTGAGTTCCTTTCCTTCCTTAAACAGAAAAAGCTACCTCCGACGACAAATGAAGATCTCGCATAGCGTCATGTTGCTAGAGAAAAGTGGCGACGGGATCTTTATGTCTATTATCGATCCTGCTCATTAGCTCCGTTATACAGTCTTTTAATGAGAAATGTACGAAGGAGCGTTCTAGGTACTTTAACTAAAGCTCATTCATTTGCGGACGTCTATCCCAAAATAAATTCCACGTGCAGTTTCAAAACGTAGCTGTGGTACTAAAAAAACCTTTACTATGTAAAATCGTCATGCTGCAATCCGAGTTCGAGGAAAGCTTCAATAGTATGGATAAATGTATTCTTGGCAGCGTTCTATGAGCACACAGGCAGGGAATCTGGCGGAATGACACCGCAGTGGCACCAGGATATATCTCTTCTTCAGACCATCTATTATACTCTCTCCTTCGGACGTTGACTGTCTATATTCTCAGTTCAAGACTATGAAAACACCTCCAAGGGCGACGATCGTGTAGGAGCAAAAGCAGCGGACATTGTAGTATTGATGATCTCTGTGTCTGCAGTATTCGTGGCGTTATTTAGTCTATGTATAAAACAAAAGCTATTGAATATTGTAGTATGTGCACTGGTTGCAGGCCGGTTCATACATAATTGGTACTTAAACGGCCCGTTATCACTAGTTGTGCGGGCCCCAGCATTAATCACCATTTTTCGGAGACTTGCTGGTTAAGCTATTGTGGTTCCTTGGAATATTGAGAACAGCCTGGCCAAAGTCTACCCCAGGTCGTCACCACGACAGGCAGTCGCAGCCCTTGTGGATCAGAGGGAGATTTGCCACCATGCGACTTTGATACCAAGATGCTGGTGAGTCCTGGTATTGGTTTACTCTTGGCTAGGCTTCCTTATGGAAACGCCGGACTCTTCAGCTTGGAAACTTAGCCGTCATTTTTTTCGTTTTTCTGCAGTTCCTTGGTTTTCTTCTCCTTCTATCTTTTCGTTTTTCTCCACTTTCTTGGTTTTCTTCCAGTTATCGTACAATTCTCCTTTTTGTGAGCACATTATCGGAAGCAATTTGAGGCTAACAAACTGGATTAGGAAACAAGGTGAGATTGTATTTAATGTTTTAAAAACCGTGTTAGGTTTCTTCATTGATTATTTATTAATTCGCTGGTTATTTGTTCAAGATGTGTCATTGGTAGAACCTCTGTGAAACGGTAATGCAACACCCCTCCGTTTGATCCTGCGCTTTGAGCATACCAAGCCCTCTGTGCCTTCAGAGTTAGCAGATTGGTACTTGTCTGGGGGCATAAAAACACTGTTAACGGACGGCAAACTCCCACAAATTATGGTGTAGACCACTTACGCATTCAGACACCTGTATATGTAGATACTTAGTAGAATGGAATGCATAGCGTATTATTAAGGGTAGATTATCTTCGAACGCTTAATGCTTTTAGTATGCTTATGTGACAGAAGTGGCTTACCACAACTTGAAATGCCAAGAAGTGGTGAAATGATATCATGCGATATCTAGAGATATTTTAACACCTGCAACCTTGTGTGTTTCGGACACTCGAGCTTTCATTTTTATAACGTACTAAAGAAAAGTATGTTTGCAAACTACTTGGACGTTTTGTATTATTTTAACTACTGCATGGTTGTTCTGTAACAAATATGCCTAATTTTTAGTAATAAAGTAATATAGTGTGGGAAAGGCTCTAGGAATTGAATATATTCATTCGTGCAACAATATTTTTTAAACACAGTGGACGCGCGGCGCTTAGCGGCCGTATCGCTTAGGAGGCCTAATTGTGGATCTTATATGGACTAGAATTTAAACAAATTTCAATCAGTCAAATTATCTGTCAATGAATTTGTTCAAGAAAAGTTTTTTTCTCATATTTCTATATGCGAAGTAGAGCTTTTCGTGTGTGGTAATCTTCAAAACATCTCTGCTGAATAGACTATCGACCGATTTTGTGAATTAAAGGTAAGAGGTTTTGTGCGCCGCAATAAACCATGAGAAAGACAATGACCCATGTAGAGACCATACCAGCTGCCAAGGTGCCGCCTATGGGCGGAGATGTCCTCTTCCGTTACGGGCTAACCAAATACCTTTTCCTTTAAGGAATGTACCATGTCTTAGGAGTGCAGTAGTCTTTGCTATATTGTTCCACGATGTTGATAACAAAGAAAATTTCTATCATTTATAAGACTATGAAAAAATTTTTTTGAAATATTTTTTTGAAAACACTACTAGACTTCAAAGGATTTTTTGGAAATTCAGTTCATATTCTGTCATACTATGTTAGAACGTAAATGTTTTCCAGTTATGACCGCACTTTAATTTTTAGCTTTACTGTTTGCTCAAAGGGGGTGAGTGGCGTGATGGTTAGTGCCAGTCTGCAATACGTGCGGATTCGTTCCCGCGTCCCAGACTCACGAAGCTTTCTATTCCTCCGGTGGTCACATATTGATACCAAACCTATCTGGGGAAATAGCAGCTATGATTTGGTACATCGATATGGTATCGCTAGTAATTGTTTAGGCGAATTATACATCTAGTAACATGAAATGGTGCTTAATGAAGTCGAATGCATGGCGCATCCCTCAGAGATTGATCATTGCCAAGAGCTTTCTCTTTTTCTTATTAATTGCTCTAAACGATTTTAGTAAACGATATATTCACCACAATTGTCAACACAAGGGCATTATTAGATGATCATGACGTTGAAGACTAACATTCTAGGTTCCGTGAGTCGCTTACAACAACGAACAGAGTTGGTTCACTACATGTATCACCTTTCGTGCCGCCGATGGTCATATGACTCGAGCGCATGCCAGTAAACCTTCAAATTTTCGCCATAGCGTTTAGTAGTAGCCCATTGGGTTCTGCTCGTTCTTGGGGGTCGTTATCTTGAAGAACTCCGACCATCGGGTAGGTGTTCTTCCTGTTTTCCATTTCACATTCTAGGAATTTAATCAATAACGGCTCTTATCCATCGGTTGTCATTCATACGCATTACGTGTCCGGCACACCTTATTTGTTTCGCTTACAGAACGGCATGTTTGATTTTTGATCGTTGGCGCAGGTCGGAGCTTCGGATCCTTTCCCTCAAATGCGTGATGCGCGATACTCCTAGCATTCCCTTTCATCCTGCTTACGCAGCGACCAGGTTTCTGACGAATACGTGGGGCTGGAAGTACCGCTGAGTCGAAAAAGTGGGCACGGAGTCGGGTGTTCTTCGTTCTCTTCACTACATCCTCGTTGGTCTTGAAAGCCCTCCAAGCCGTTTCCTTCTGAACTATGGAGCGAAGTCCTTCAACATGTTCATTTCCTGACCTAGATAGACATAGACTTGAGCTTTCGGAGATGATCATTCCGTTAAACGTCAATGAAGCATACGTAACCAATCCGTTCCTCATGAACATCGTTTTTGTGAGATTTGATCGAAGGCCAATCTTTCCACAAATATATTCAAAGTCGGCTAGTATTCGTTCCGCTTGACTGATGCTTAGTGTTATAAGGACGATGTCATTAGAAAACAAAGATGCTGTGATTGTCGACCATTGATTTCCAGTCCCATATTGTCCCATTCGAATGTTCGCATGACGTGTTCGAGAGTGGCGGTGAATAATTTTGGCAAGATGATATCGCCTTGTCTAACCCATTGTTTTAGATTTATGCTAATGTCATTGCATAGTAGTGATATTTCGATTGTGAAATTTCTATATAACTCCATGAGAATCTTTGTATAATTAGTAAGGACGCCTTGACCGTTATAACTTCTGTCTCAGCTTGGTAAAGACTTTCTTTAAATCGATCACGGAGCCGTCTCTTGTACTCTCGCGGTACTTCAGAAGATGGATGTGATCAATAGCACTGAATCTTTTCGCAAACCCTGCTTGCTTAGATGGCTGTTCTTCGTTCAGTATTCTGTCAATCCTATTTACGATGAATCGAGTGTAGTGGATGAATTCATAGAATGAATGGATTCATAGACGACAAACAACAAGCAGATTGAGCGATAGTTGCCGAAGTCGTTGAGGCCACCATTCCTGAACACTAACACAGTTGTGCTGGTTTTCCACTGAATGGGAACATTGCATTCTGACACGTAACGTGGGAAGAAAGGAGCTCACGTAGCCCAGTGGTTAGATGCTCGCTGCAATACGCATGTAATCGATTCTGCGCGCAAGGCCCACCAAGCACTCCGTCCCCAGGATCGGCTAGTTGGTACCAGACTTGTTTGGAAGAATGGTAGCACTGGCTCGATATATCGGCAGGCCACTGCAAGTCATTGTAATGGTCACATATGCATTCAGTCACCATCAACGATGCTTAATGAAGTCATATTCGTAATGCATCCCTCAGAGTTTGT